CTGCAGTCCCACTTATGTCATAAGGCATAATTAGCCGCATTTATAATTGTCACCGGATGGGGGATTTTTTTCTAGAAAGACTCACGAAGTCCCTGTTATACTGAATAAAAAACTCACAACATGTGCCTCTTATTGTAGGAATATTATAATGTTCCCTTTTCTTGCAGACGGTGTCTTGCGTCCAGTAAGAACTCGGCGTGGCAGGCCTGAAAAGCAGACACCTGGACAACATCGTCACATTACATCATCTGTGTCCTGGTGCGCTGTGAAGGGCGTAACGCTAACAGCTCAGCATTGGCAGCAAAGATTGGGGAGGGCTAGGCAGCACCAGGGAAGGGCTCTCTGGCAATGGAGTTACACCATGTTATAGACGAATCAAGGTATTGGCGACGTAGGGCAACAACTCTAGACCATGATCCCTTAGGGAGCTGTTGTGTCATGGTATGGGGCGGTATCACACATGACAGGAGAACTGAATATTGCGAAGGAACATTTGACTGGCCAGCGAAGTGTTGAAATTTTGCGTGGTTTTTTTGTTTTCGCTAAAATTATCATCAGCAATTTTGAACTACAAGATGACAATGCCAGACCACATCGTCCCCAGGACGTTACCAATTGTGTACGACCAAGTCTCGAACCTCCATCATCGGAGATTGCCTTTAGAGCAGCGCGACCCCATCTGCACCCGAATATCCCCGCCAAATGGGGCATGTGACCCCGCCCATGTATACCGTTTTGCGAGAAGAGAGAGGGTCGTGAATGTAAACGCTGTCAGTGACCCAAGTCTGACAGATTCTCCAGTTTCTAGGTTCCTGTGTGTGGTATCGGCGCAGCGGTACGAGGAGAGAAGCAATAAGGTTGAACGCTCTACAGGGGACTATAACAACAACAGCAATAACCGTAAGGATATAAAAGCAATAGACATTTTACAATTGTTAGCAAAAAAACAGTCTGACATCTCAAGCATATTGCACAATTTCATTGCAGAGAAAAAAAAGAGTATGAAGTGGCTCCCCACAATGGAAATAAGATTAATTAGATTAATTAAATATTATGAAAATAATGATAGTATTTTGGCAGAGTCCATCCACAGAAGCACAATTGCTTTTGCCACTGTGTCTGAAGTAGGAGAGGCCTATTAGAAACTGTACACCGCGTCATAGGAATTTCAGCCCGAGGAGTGTGATTGGTAAATGAGTTCAAGCCGGTGTAGCCCCGTAATTTCCGGCTACCATTTTCTCAAAGCTCAAAGCTGAGATTTGATGGTTGTTTTAAAATAAATACGAGGTAAGGTGACCACAGATAAACACGATTGTGTAGCCTATGGTTTGTTTAGCAAGTACCAATAGGTTGAGATAAGTGGCATTCATAGTTCATGCATATCCAACTGTGATTCGAACTGAGTGCGAAATCTTGAATGGCGGGTGTCACTTCTTGTCTATATGTATATAGAAGGGTGTGTTTTTTTCTATACGAATATATTATGCTATACACGCTGTCATCGAGTTTCTGTGATTAGATCATATTATTTAGAAATTGAAACAATAGAATATCGTCCTCTCTCAGCTAGCAGGCAATTGGTGCACATGGGGACGCTTACATCTTGCCTAAATGTCTTGCCCCATACATTATTTACGTAGATGTTATCAATGAGGAAGTCCAGCATTTCACATATTGTTTTCTCAGTATACTCCAGGTAGCATTTCATTTTTCACAAAGTGTCCTGACCCTCTGAATATAGATAGTCACTGTATCTGTGGTCACCACGTGTTGTAACAAAAGCCCCTTGGATCAAGGAATGAAGTTTTTCCTTAAGTTTGTCATGTGGTATAGTGGTGTATTAAGTTGAAAAAGCAAATGTTTCGGCAGAATGGAACTTGGTTCTTTCCTGAGTTTGCAAAACGTCTAGCAAATCCTTTGCGTTTTTGAGAATCCACATGATATTCGTTTCCTAAGCAAGACAACTCGATCTACGTCATAAATTAATCAAAGAGCTGTTACCAAGTGTTTTAAACTTTCAAATATAACTTACATAATTTGCAAAAAAAAGTTAAGTTAATAGTTAAGCACAGAAAAACCTGTTTTCATGGTGGATGTTATTCGAACAGTACGGGGCAGTGAATTCATGCAATATTGCTTTTCCATTGCCACCCGAGGTATTTTGAAGTTAGCGGGAAAAGCCGAGTGGATCCGAGTAGCATCGCGTGAAGCGCGAATGGCTGCGTGTTCTTTTTCCCTGGGTAGATTTATGTGGTCGATTGTGTAATAAAGTGTGACGGCAAGAGAGGGTAATGTTTTGTTGTGTAGCGGGTGCTTCAAGATCAAGATCAGTATGCTTTCATCGTACTACAGGCCTCCGGCCAATTTGCAAAACTAAAAATATTTTTTCGCCGGAGGCATGTATCATGATAACGACCCTATCACGAATGTAGACTCAATGACTGTATGTCTCCAGTGTGGAACCCAGATCTCTGCTGAGAGGATGATTTGTTCCATGGCGGTCTGGTCAGGAGCATGTATTCGCGTTGTGTTATTTGTTCATATAAACGCAAAATAAGATTCGCCAAAATTTAGTCGTTTGCCAGAATTAACACAGTGGTCCTTGTCAGCTACATCTCGAATGCAAATGTGAACAAAAATTTAGAAAAAGCCTTTTTAATTCAAATTCATACCATCTATGACGGCTGGTTGTTTAACGTCGCACTCAGCAATATTCAAGCCATATGGCGGCGGTCTATAAATAATCGAGTTCTTCACTAAATAATCCAGTGATTGACATCATGAGCATCGATCCACGCAAGTGGGATACGATGACATGCATCAATCAAGTCAGCAAGCCCGACCAACCGATCCCGTTAGTTGCCTCTTACGACAAGCACAGTCGTCTTTTACGGCAAGCATGGGTCGCTGAAGACCTATTCTACCCCGGATCTTCACGGGTCCGCATACATGTTCCCTCAAACCAAACCGTCAGGATACAGGAAGGAACACGTGACTTGGTGAATGAGTCCTTTAGTCAATCATGAGCGTGAAATGCTGCTTCGGTGTGGGTACCATAGAACCCTTTGGCTGAAAACACTTTCAGCTATATTTGCATGCAGGTATGGTTATGTGTTTATGTGCAGCTGTGAAAGGGGGGCCTCTTATCATACACATAAGTACTTTGAGATGCAGGTTCGATCATTTAAATACTGTCATGACCTGTATTAGGAATAAACATTGTATTTAGCAAGTCTTGGGCTGTATACAGCCTTGAGCTTAAAATGAACAATTTGACAGCATGAACATTGTTTATAACCATAAGAAAGCTTTTCATGATGAACTATCGTCCTAAGAACAGATGTAACTTATTGAAGAGTAAGAATGTATTTTCTGAGAAAGCAAGTGACAAAATACAGGAAGTACTAACAGTTTTGTTATAAACTTAGCTATTACTATGGGAATATGTGGTTTCTTATTAAGTTTATATGTCTTGTCCGAAACCGGAAGTTAGTATTTCTTCAAACAAACTGAGCTACATAATATTTATCTTTTTCTTGATCTATGTGCTCTGACAGAAGGTATCATTTGATTTCCTTAATAAGGCCAGGCGTATTCACACCTCCAGGCTGTAGCTGGGCAAACACGGTGAAGAACATGGATTTATTGCTGTCATCGCTGGTGATCTCGGGTTGGAAAATGCGTCTGGGCATATATCTCAACATTGATAGAGCAGTAAATAACAGTGACAAAACCCTTTTCCATATTCACAAGAAATCTCGATGGTATGATACAGACTACATCATGAGCACGTGTTTATGAATCACTCTCATGCAGTGATGATATCAGGTGTTGGCGAAAAAGTTGAGCGTATCCTGCCCCACCGGGGAATTTAAACGGATTGTATTTTTTTCAGCTCACATTTGTTTATCATTTTTCATTAATTAGTGAGATATTTTATAACAAATTTGATCTTGAATAACGTAGTACGAATCCATTAGATTGTGTCTGGTGAAGGTGGAGAGGACTAAAGCTTGACTGTGTATTTTATTGAAGATATTTTTACACAAATTCACAGTTGCCCAACTTTCCTGCAAATGATCCAACATTGATTCTTTATATTTAGATAACTGTTGTATACATCCCTAATGACATACTAAACAAACAAATATATTTTCATCAAAGATGGAATGGCAAAGTCAAAACAAGGTAATTTGGCCAAAAAGTTCAACTTAAGCTTCAGGTATATCGATGATCTGATATTGTTCAATAAGCATCAAATAGCCAAATCACTTCCACTGATTTACACACCTGAACAAGAAATAAAGGAGACCGGTGAGACCATCTACGTTTCATATTTAGAAACTATGCATAAATTTGGTACATACAAAACAAACAAACATATTTCCATCAAACATGGAACGGCAAAGTCAGAACAAAGTAACTAAGCCAAAAAGTGTAATTTAAGCTACAGGTATATCGATGATCTGGTATTGTTCAATAACCGTCAAATAGCCAATTCCCTTCCATTCTCAAAAAGACTGTATGACGAGAGGGATGACTTCAACTTTCCAATAGTCAACTTTCCCGTTTTGCCGAACTATATTCCTGCAGTTCCAGCCCTTGTGTATCAACATTTCTTCCAAAATACGACTCTTGCTCAGACTTTGTTTGAGCAAGGTTACAACATTCAAGGTTTTATGGTAGATATGTGGAGGACATTTCCAAATTTGACCCATCAGTGCCAAAAACGATGTCTGATGCAATTTCCTATTTTGACGTACCACATGTTCTCGTATCTTTTCAGGTGAACAATTGACTTGGCTTTGCATGTGTTTGTGACGGGTGTCACTGGTTGGGCAGGATACGCTCCACTTTTCGCGAACACCTGGTAACAACACTTTTTTTAGAGTGATTCATAAACAAAATTTCATGATATTGTACAATCGACTCTGATTTCTGATGAATATGGAAAGGGTTTTGTCGCGTTCTTGTCACAATCATAAACAATTGACAACAAATATATTTTATAATTTATTCATCTTCCTTATTCCATACCAATCCATCCAGGATAGAAGTAGTCCGACATGTTTGCTGAAAACTGCTTCCTTAAACTACTTCCGTCTCTGGCCGGATGTTTGTAGTAGATTGTCTCCCCTCCAGCCAGGAACGAGGCCCACCAGCCGAATGTTCCCACGGACATTATGGAATGATTGCAGTGAGCTAATACAGCTAGATCCACCTGGAACGGGTTTCTCTCCATATATATGACGTCATTTCCTGTAACATTTGCCTTGCTCCATTGGAAGTTGTCCGAACACACGATGAACAGGGTATGGTTATATTTAGTTCTGAAATACTGGATCGCCTTTGTAAAATATTCCGGTGGAGCCAAACCATACCCATAGTTCACAAAACCCTTTCGTCTAGCAATATCCCCTCTCCGCACGTGCACACCCACTGTAATGACCTTCTGTGGCGTCACACGCACGTGTTTTTCGGACTCCCGTTTAATGTATGCTTGTACCTGGGCCTGAAATGACCAATAGGATTGAGTGTTGGCAGGAATTAGGAAGCTAGCTGTGTCATTCCATACCTTCTAGCGATGTAAATATTTGCAACACATCAAGATGGAGCATTATCCCTAACGAAATTAGAAATAATATAAAGCTAAACATATCCATGGTGAAGCGATAAAAGGGTTTACAACTAAACAGAAATGGGGTTACTTATTTTGTTAAAGTACCCCGTCTAGAATCCTCTCTCACGCGACAGCCATTAAAAGCGAGAACAATGCTTGGTATACATTATCCATTTCCGGTTTCGCCGTCTGCTGAAAAGTCACACGGACCAGTGGACAAGAAGTCGGAAAGCTTTGCCAATACTGACGTCATCTAACAGAGATACCTGGGCCAATGAGTGTCGGGTTCCACGCGCCAATTTTAAGAAGGGATATAGCAATTTAGTGGAATCGCACGTTCACGATGAAGAATAAAAAATGTAAGCAAACACCTGTCTAGGCTACTCCACACTGAACGACTGAAGAAATATAAATCATACTCGTATAATTTTGTCTCAAATATTATTATTAGAACTACTTGATAATTAGCTGATCATGAGGCACTTAAATATTATTAATTCATCTCACAATCTGGTGCAAAATAAACATTATAGGCTGCCTGAAAACACAATAGCCCCGCCTTTTTCATATTGAGTTTCCGGCTCGCGTCCTGGATGTCAATAGGCCAGACCTCCAATAATATCAGCAATATTACGATAAACAACCAAGGACAATAGTATGGGGAAAAGGGTACAACCAAAACTGATTTTTCAATAATGTATTACTTGTGATCACTTTGAACTTTTGTAAAATTTCATATTTGCACTTGGGATTGGCTGAAACTGTTTTTTACCTCAAGTTTTTTTTTTCAGTGACAAGACATTTTCCTCCCATTTTCGAAAGTTCGAGTTTATTATTCGCAATTACAGTTTATATGATATCCAAATTGTTATGCAAGAATTTATTTTTTATCTCGATGGGAGCACATTTGTTTTTTTCTAAACAATTTCCATCGCTTCATCTTGGAAATGGAATCAGATAAATATTATTCTGAAGTTGAACATACTCATGGCCAAATCGCACTGACAGGATGCAAATGGTGCGACGTTTTCGTCATGTGCAAACATGACTTCCATTTGGAGAAATTAGATCTTTTCTGCTTCAAGTTTTACCTGCCCCATCTGTCTCTGTGAATGAACTGATATCACGGGATTGTTTGCACCAGCCATATTTGTATTCATTTTGTACATTTGTAAGAGAGATATGTGATACTATTACTGTATTATGACTCAAAATAATGCAGATTAATGTTAACACCTAGCTTCAGTAGGCGGTGGGGTAGTCTGGTGGTTTAGGGGCACAATGGAACCACGATGTTAATCACGATGTAAACCACGTTGTTAATTACGATGTTAAAAACGATGTTAACCATGATGTTAACCACGATAACCACGATGTTAATCAAGATGTAAACCACGTTGTTAATTACGATGTTAAAAACGATGTTAACCATGATGTTAACCACGATAACCACGATGTTAATCAAGATGTAAACCACGTTGTTAATTACGATGTTAAACATGATGTTAACCACGATGTCATCACGATGTTAATCACGATTTTAATCACTATGGTTACTGTACCTTCAACAGGACCAATGCTTGCGCGCGCACATCTTCCACGAATGTGAACTGTCGCCGTATGTCGTCTGTCACGTCCCGGAAGTACATCCAAGATTGAAAGTAGAACCCAGGGTTATAGTTCCTGAACTCTGTCAGATTCATTAACTTGTCGTTGTAGGAGCAATGTCTGCCCTCGAAGACAAACTTGGCTGATTTGCAAATGCACACATCACCTACCACCTTGGCTGACACATTGAAGTACTTCAGTAACGGGTTGTTTTGCTGAATGAGGACTGACTTGTGGGCTGCAGACGCCATACCGTAAACAGACGCAAAGGCAAACATGAAGTTCCCTATGCCCCCGCTCGTGTGGGTACAGATAAAGCGGTTCTCTGTCTCAAACGTCACGTTAAAGTCATCTCGGCAGGGTTTGGGGGTTGTGGTTGTGGTTATGGTCGTTGCAGTAGTAGTCGGAATCAGTCTCATAGCCTGTTTCAACTGAGCCTCAAGATCGGCGATCCGCCTCTGGTATTTCAAAACACTTTCCAGCCTTGACATTGATGGGTAGTGGAAGGTCAAGGCCATGAGCAAGATCCACGTGGACGCAATGCACGTTACGGTAACTGAAATCAACAAGAACACAAGTGAATGAGTGAGTAAGTGAGTTTTGGCTTTCCATATTTTCCATGTTTTGTTAGGTGAATATTAACTTCCCTTTGCGTGTATTTGTGACTGGTGCCACCGGTGGATCTGATCAGTTCTCGTTTACAGAAATAATGTTAATGCTGTTCTGTCACCAACCAAATCACAATTTATTAAGACACAACAGTGTCCGACCGTTAAAGGACTGCTTTACTCATATTGCAAGTCTTGATCACTCTTTTCATCTTCAGTATTATCAAATTCAGAGTCACTTTCTTTCTCTGGCATATCACCATGAGATAATTTTTTTCATGACTGGTCCATTATTTAAAACAAAGCCAGCCTCTGAGAAATTGTGAAGTCAAAGATAGAATTCAGTTGATTGACAAACATGTTTTCCCATGTTCTTTTTGTTTCCTTGCTCTCGATACTTTTTCCCGTTTAAGTTTCATGTCCTCTCGATAATATTTTAGACGCGTGCACACGCGCCCTGCAGGCCAACCTCTCACCATTCATTCCCAGACAGATTCTGTTCAGTTTGTACCCTGCCCACGTCTTCATTGTCGTCGCTGTCCTCGTCACACCTGGCACGTTGTCGTCACGACTTATTCTGAGGATTCCACGTCCTGATGGGATGTTGTAGGTCTTGAATGTTGCCCATCTAGACTCCACGTCCTGATGGGATGTTGTAGGTCTTGAATGTTGCCCATCTAGACTCCACGTCCTGATGGGATGTTGTAGGTCTTGAATGTTGCCCATCTAGACTCCACGTCCTGATGGGATGTTGTAGGTCTTGAATGTTGCCCATCTAGACTCCACGTCCTGATGGGATGTTGTAGGTCTTGAATGTTGCCCATCTAGACTCCACGTCCTGATGGGATGTTGTAGGTCTTGAATGTTGCCCATCTAGACTCCACGTCCTGATGGGATGTTGTAGGTCTTGAATGTTGCCCATCTAGACTCCACGTCCTGATGGGATGTTGTAGGTCTTGAATGTTGCCCATCTAGACTCCACGTCCTGATGGGATGTTGTAGGTCTTGAATGTTGCCCATCTAGACTCCACGTCCTGATGGGATGTTGTAGGTCTTGAATGTTGCCCATCTAGACTCCACGTCCTGATGGGATGTTGTAGGTCTTGAATGTTGCCCATCTAGACTCCACGTCCTGATGGGATGTTGTAGGTCTTGAATGTTGCCCATCTAGACTCCACGTCCTGATGGGATGTTGTAGGTCTTGAATGTTGCCTGTCTAGACTCCACGTCCTGATGGGATGTTGTAGGTCTTGAATGTTGCCCATCTAGACTCCACGTCCTGATGGGATGTTGTAGGTCTTGAATGTTGCCTGTCTAGACTCCACCCCACCTCCTGATGGGATGTTGTAGGTCTTGAATGTTGCCCATCTAGACTCCACGTCCTGATGGGATGTTGTAGGTCTTGAATGTTGCCCATCTAGACTCCACGTCCTGATGGGATGTTGTAGGTCTTGAATGTTGCCTGTCTAGACTCCACTCCACGTCCTGATGGGATGTTGTAGGTCTTGAATGTTGCCCATCTAGACTCCACGTCCTGATGGGATGTTGTAGGTCTTGAATGTTGCCTGTCTAGACTCCACTCCACGTCCTGATGGGATGTTGTAGGTCTTGAATGTTGCCCATCTAGACTCCACGTCCTGATGGGATGTTGTAGGTCTTGAATGTTGCCCATCTAGACTCCACGTCCTGATGGGATGTTGTAGGTCTTGAATGTTGCCCATCTAGACTCCACGTCCTGATGGGATGTTGTAGGTCTTGAATGTTGCCCATCTAGACTCCACGTCCTGATGGGATGTTGTAGGTCTTGAATGTTGCCCATCTAGACTCCACGTCCTGATGGGATGTTGTAGGTCTTGAATGTTGCTTATCAAAACTCCACGTCCTGATGGGATGTTGTAGGTCTTGCATGTTGCCTGTCTAGACTCCACTCCACGTCCTGATGGGATGTTGTAGGTCTTGCATGTTGCCCATCTAGTCTCCGCGTCCTGATGGGATGTTGTAGGTCTTGCATATGCCTGTCTAGACTCCACCCCACCTCCTGATGGGATGTTGTAGGTCTTGCATGTTGCCCATCTAGTTTCCGCGTCCTGATGGGATGTTGTAGGTCTTGCATGTTGCCTATCAAGACTCCACGTCCTGATGGGATGTTGTAGGTCTTGCATGTTGCATATCAAGAATTCACGTCCAGATGGGATGTTGTAGGTCTTGCATGTTGCCTATAAAGACTCCACAATCCCCACAAACAGTCGTCATGGTGTGGAAAGGTGTGTCGTCAAGAGTCGCTCGTTATATTATCAAAACTATCACTCTTGAAGTGTTTGCTGAAATGAGCGTGCGCCTTGTGCTGCGGCCTGATGATGGGGAGAGGCATGGGTAATGGAGGAGCAGGAGGAGGAGGGGCATGAAGAGGTGGAGGAGAGGCATGGGGAGGAGGAGGGTCATGAGGAGCAGGAGGAGAGGCATGGGGAGGAGGAGGGGCATGAAGAGGAGGAGGAGAGGCATGGGGAGGAGGAGGGGCATGATGAGCAGGAGGAGAGGCATTGGGAGGAGGAGGGGCATGATGAGAAGGGGCATTAAGAGGAGAAGGAGAGGCATGGGGAGGAGGGGCATGAAAAGGAGGAGGAGAGGCATGGGGAGGAGGAGGGGCATGAAGAGGAGGAGGAGAGGCATGGGGAGGAGGAGGGGCATGATGAGGAGGGGCATGAAGAGGAGGAGAAGAGGCATGAGGATGAGGAGGGGCATGATGAGGAGGGGTATGAAGAGGAGAAGGAGGGGCATGAAGAGGAGGAGGAGAGGCATGAGGAGGAGGGACATGATGAGGAGGGACATGAAGAGGAGGAGGAGGGGCATGGGGAGGAGGAGGGGCATGATGAGGAGGGGCATGAAGAGGAGGAGGAGAGACATGATGAGGAGGGACATGAAGAGGAGGAGGAGAGACATGGGGAGGAGGAGGGGCATGATGAGAAGGGGCAAGAAGAGGAGGGGCATGATGAGGAGGGGCATGATGAGGAGGGGCATGGGGAGGAGGAGGGTCATGAGGAGCAGGAGGAGAGGCATTGGGAGGAGGAGGGGCATGAAGAGGAGGAGGAGGGTCATGAGGAGCAGGAGGAGAGGCATTGGGAGGAGGAGGGGCATGAAGAGGAGGAGGAGGGGCATGAAGAGGAGGAGGAGAGGCATGGGGAGGAGGAGGGGCATGAAGAGGAGGAGGAGGGGCATGAAGAAGAGGAGGAGAGGCATGATGAGGAGGAGGGGCATGATGAGGAGGGGCAAGAAGAGGAGGGGCATTATGAGGAGGGGCATGGGGAGGAGGAGGGTCATGAGGAGCAGGAGGAGAGGCATTGGGAGGAGGAGGAGAGACGTGGGGAGGAGGAGGGTCATGATGAGGAGGGGCATGGGGAGGAGGAGGGTCATGAGGAGCAGGAGGAGAGGCATTGGGAGGAGGAGGAGAGACGTGGGGAGGAGGAGGGGCATGATGAGGAGAGGCATGGGGAGGAGGAGAGGCATGAGGAGGAGGAGGGGCATGATGAGGAGGGGCATGAAGAGTAGAGGCGTGGGGAGGAGGAGGGGCATGATGAGGAGAGGCATGGGGAGGAGGAGAGCCATGAGGAGGAGGAGGGGCATGATGAGGAGGGTCATGATGAGGAGAGGCGTGGGGAGCAGGAGGGGCATGAGGAGGAGGAGAGGCATGGGCATCCATTGGATGAGAGGTCGGTCATGAGAGGTCCATCGATTCCCTGCCATGAACAAATCCAGAAGCGTTGTTTCTTATCACGAAGACCCTTTAATCTTGAACACAGCGTTTTAGCATACATTGGATAAGTCGGAGAATTTAACTGCATGCCCGTTCAAGAATACGACCCATCCTAGTGAACAAAACGAAGAAATGCACAGCCAACCTATTGACCCGATTCGTGTCTAGGCTGACAAGTGACAGTCCACAGCAAACTATAAATTTACCTTAGAATCAACTTGACACATCTTTATAATCACCTTTGAATGATCGGCCAAATGATCAATGCTGACTAACACTTGTAATCGCCACAGCTACAGCTAGGTTTACTGTAAGTTTCCATTGATCTCGAAACTTTTCTTAGATATTCAGCTGATTTTGAAACCCTGTCACAGTATTTGATACAAGTATATAACATCATCAGCAAACAGTAGCATGAATAACTCGAAAATATATGGGTACATTTCGAGTATTAATTTATTAATGAAAAAAAAGAATATCAAAGGACTTAATAAACAGCCTGGTTTCAAAACAAAAGGACAATTGAACAGTTTGTTAACTGACCATCACATCACACACACGCTCTTACACTAGGGTACGGATGGAAATGAATAAGGGACACTTAGATTCATTCATTCATTCATTTATTCATTCATCATTTGATTCTGACGTGTTGAATTTGTATGCGCGCTGTTTCAAATGTACTGACAGTAATGCCTATTTCCCTATTTGTTTTTTTGTTGCCTTAGTCGTTGCCATTTGTATACTTTCAAACATTTCCCAAAGGTACAATTACAGATTTCGACCACATATTAGAGAATATATCTGATTAAATTATTTCGACAAAAACGGCAGTAATATTTCTTCAGAACATTTAAGCATTTCATCAGGAACGTTCATGGCGTCAATAATTTCCTCAACAGTGATATTGGCATCCAGAATACATCGATCAATAGCAGTATAATGCTCATGATAACTGTATCTGTGTCTGTATCAGAACTGGTCAAGTACTCAAACATCTTGGAACTGAGTTATCCATTCGGTGGGATTTGATATTGAGTTACTTTTTCGGATATTTTTTCAAAATTCTGAAAGGTTACCCAGATATTTGCATAATGTATCAAATTTATGTTGCCGAACTTGAGATTCACACCTCCGACATGTTTGCTTATTCCCTACCGTACATGTTCAAGTCCATGCTGTCTGCACTGTAGACGT